GAACTTCCTAGTTCTGTTTTACCCTTTACAAACAGATTATTCTCGTTTCTTTTCTGAACCTTCAACTCTAACTCCCTATTTAGTCATGATATTATGACATCTACACTAGGGACAGTGCCAGAGTACTGTAAAGCATTCTTGACTACTTGGTAGTCTTCTGTTAATGAGTTTAAAAGAATTATGGCCAAGCTTGTGTCTCCTAATTCTTGGTCAGTGCCTTTTAGGATTATAGTCATTTTCAAGAATTCATCTAGATTATCTTCTATTGACTTACTATTGTCCATTCTATATGAAAATTGTACACCCTTTAAAAAAGCAAGATTGGGTGCAGTTTGTAAGGCATACAGAGTTTCGAGTTTACCCCAGAGTGTGATTGGAGCCTTCAATCCGTCCACCTTTCTCAGTACGTTGTCTGCCAGATTCATCATGATCAAGTTGTACGTCTCCTTGTCTATTTCTGCCTTTCTCTTTAACTTGTCCTCCAGCCATTTTTCTGTGTTCTTTTCGAGTGCAATCCCTACTTTCTTATGTGAAAATAAGGCCTTCATCTTCTTCTTCTAAGAATTGAAGTCTATCTTCCCATCGTATTGGGAGATCTCCATGCGAGTTAAACTCATGATGCTAGAATTAGAAATTGGTTTCAATTCTTGACAATTTCTGGTTTGTTGATAACCTACAGACTCCTAAGAACCCTAGAACCCGATAATTCAGAAAACCCCCGAATTTTTCAAAACCCTAGAATTCGAATTTTCCTCGATTAGGGATCTTAAAGTCACACTAGGCTCTAATGTAACCCACTCTGATACCACTGTTGTAATAACACTCACACACAAACCTAATTAAACCTATCAGATTAAGCAATCACAAAAAAGATTCAACACCACAATTTTTACCATGGTTCACATTTCCAAGAATAGGAAGGCTACGTCCACGTTAAGCTTTGGAAACGAAAGAAGCTTACTGCATTAATACGAACCAGTTTATAGATTACAGACTCTCAATCAAATGATCCAAGAAAGAAACCCCGAAATCAACCAATCTTGTAACAATCAACCTAGAGAAATAACACTAAGATCCCTAGCCCTTAGAGAGACAATAACCCTCTCTCAGAATGACAAACACAATCACTCAACTAGTTAAACTGATTACGATTTCAGAACTAGACGAAAAACCCTAAGAGAGAAAATTCCTATTACACAGTATATCAATCGAGAAAACCCTTACTAAAGACTGAAGATTGAAGACTCATTTGTTTATATACCGTTGACCAGAATTGGACTAATTGTTGCCGTTGGATCTTAAGATGATTGATGGTCCAAATTTCTTCCTGAAACGACAGCGTATTACTTAGTTAAGTAGCATGGCATCGTTTCAGTCTTCACACTTACAGTGGAGGTGGCGACACTAAAGATCTTGAATTCCATGACCATTGAGGTTGGGTCCTACTACTGTTGTTGTTGATCCATAGTAATTATCTATCTACATTCTTCCATCATCGCATGATTTGGATTGAAATCTTCTATCGTGCTTTTAAAACAAAAACACCAATGTGGATTTTGAGCCTTTTGTTCTATATCAAAATAAAATAGTTGGTCGGATGCGATTCAACCGGAATCACACCAAGCCAAGCGCGATTCAGTCAGAATCGCACGTCACTTGGTGCGATTTGGCCGGAATCACACCCAACCAACTATTTTTTTTTTCTTCAGTTTTTTAACTTTTGTGTGAAAAGATTGTGGTCAGAAGGAAAGGGGGAGAGAAAGAGGAGACGAAAAAAAGAAGGAGAACAAAGGTGAAGAAGAAGAGAGGATGAGAAGAGAGGTGGCGAAGGAGAAAGAAGAAGAAGAAGAGAGAAAGGATATTTTTGTCTTTATACTGTTTATAAAATGGATTTTCCTAACGGAACATAACGATGTGTGAGAAACTATCGTTATGAAACTTGAAGGGTGGGAAAAATGTCATTTTGAAACTTGGTGGGTGGAAAATGTCTTTTCGCCAAACCTTGGGTGGGACAATGTTGTTCTCCTAGTGGCAGATCTAGGAATTTCCCTCTATGGGGGCAAAATATAAACCAAAAAGAAAAAAAAAAAAAAATTAAAACCAATCATAACTACATTTTTTGTTTTCATTACGATGAGCTTCAATAAAAAGTTATAAAATACAAATAAATATCTTCAAAAAACACAATTTTTTGTAAAAATAAAACAATTTTTCTGCAATTGTCCTCGACGAGTTTTCTTATTCTGGAAACGTTGGATAATCATCTTATTGTCAATTGTATCAAATATATCTTTCTTAATATAGATGACCAAGCAGTCATTCATCCATTGATCTCCCATTCGATTGCATAACCAGATTTTCACAAGTTTCATTGTAGAAAAAACCATTTCAACAGTCACAGTCACAACTGATAAAACCAATGCAACTTTCACAAGCTTATACACCAACATATCCAAAATTTCTTTTTTAAACCCAACTAAATTCTTAACCAAATCACCAATTCCTTGTAACTCAACAAATTTATCACAAGAACATATGTCAATAACATAAATCTTAGCCTAGTTCTCAAGTACCATCAATTCAAGTACAGAAGAATCAAATGGATAAAACTGACTAAACCCATTCTTCCCTCTTTTTTTTTTTTTTTTTCCTTTTCCTTTGTTTTTTTGGATAAGGTAAGTATGTATAAAAGACAAAAAAAATACAAATACGAGGGGCATACCCCAAGAGGATGACTGATAACTATCAGTCAAGAACACGTGGGAAAACCCACAAAGTCATGAACAGCAAAAGAGAGCACGCAGGCTCCCCATAAAGCAAAAGATGCCATAAAAAAGCCAGAAACCGGCATAAAGAGCACGCAGGCTTACCACAAACACAAAGCCACAAACCGGCAAAAAAAGACCACGCAGGCTCACCACAAACACAAAGTCACAAACCGACACAAAAGAGCATGCAGGTCCCTTACAAAGCTAGTCAGGAAGATGCCATATCACACGGAGCTGAGGCGGGATCTCGTATTTAGGTGTTAGACCCAAAATCTTGAACCGAACTAGATCACAAATAGCTAAGACAATATCTCTGCGGGAGCTACAATACTGACGAAACACGCGATTATTCCGTTCAAACCAAAGGAAATAAACTGTGGCTCCTTTTCCTTTGTTTCTTCTTCCTTTCTTCTTTATGGGTTTTTCTCTCTTCTTCTTCATTTTTGGCGAACAACCCAGTTTATATATAAAACAACTTCTTTGAATTATGAAACTGCCCCAAGATTCTCTTATTTTCACCATGACCTCGCCACATTAGCTTTCTGATGTAAAAATGCCCAGATTTCTCCCCTCGGTTAAATGCAAATCCAACAGTTCTTATTCCTTTCATTTTCACTCCTAATAAAACTTTTAAAAACTAATAGATCCCCTTGCATAAAAAGAAAAATCACAAAAAATATGAAATATATATATTAGGATTAAAAATAGGGTTTTACAAAAATAAAATCCAAACTAACCATGGGGGTTGTTCCCAAAATTTCATAATTCTATAAGTGTAAAATTTAAATAAATATAAGATGTCAACTTTTTTAAAAGTTGAGTGGGGACTCTAGTCCCCACAAGTCATTAATTGGATCCGCCACTCCGTCCTCCCTTAATTTAACTATAAAATTATTTATACAATATTCATTATAAAAAATATTAAAAATATATTTATTTTATTAAATTATTATTATATATTTGTAATATTCAATACTAATTATAATAAAATATTGGAATATATTTAAAACAGCAAGCATCATCTGCATGGGGCTCTAAGCCTCGAATAAAGAATATCTGCGAGGGGCCACTGGTTTCTTTTTGTGTTTCATTTGGACTAGAAGGAATTTAGTCCACAACTTCAAATAATCCAAAGTTGTTCCAGACATCGGATTAGATTATTAGAAGCACTAATTTAATTAGCTTCGCAAAAGTTATTCTTTAGGTATTTATATTATTTATTTAATGAATAATACTTCACTAACAATCTTCTCTCACAGACTTTCTTTCACAACGATAACTCACAATTAGTCCGTTTACAACGGATCTTACATGAGTCCTACATGAGTCTTACTAATTAATTATGAACTGATCAATTATGAACTGTCAAGTCAAAATTATAAAAGAGGATTGTTGGTGTAATATTAATCTTACTGAATTTAATTATAGGCAAGCAGTCAGCTTTGTCTTTTGCTTTTATTTTAAAGTCGGCTCCTAAGTATTGACTAAATCAAATGTTAAGTTCTTGCTTCTTAGCCAGGCACAACCTTTTTTTTTTTTTTTATCTTCAGTGAGCACACACAAACACACATGTAATAAATTTATCTTATAGACATCCTAATTTTTCTAAAAACCAGACTTTTTGAACTCTTGTTAACAACAATTAACACTCTTATTTGTAAAAGTTAAAATTTGTTTTCAGTCATGAGAGTTTAAGTCTAGATTTTAATTTCACATCCGAAAATTTAAATCTGAATTATAAGTTGTACTTATATAGAATTATACATCTAATAAACTTGCACTTACAATAAACAGATATTAAGATCTGAAATATGGATACTGTGTTTCTTTTTCAATTTTCTTTAGCAAGTATTGAGCTCATAATTTACACACACATTTAGTCTCCATCGGGAAATCTATGTACAAATGCACGTTTGTTCTTTAGAACTATGCAAAAGTCTACAGTGATGATGCAACGAATCATCACTAGTATAGTTTATCAACACTGTTTTATTTGTATTTTTTGCTAAAAAGATTTTATGTTGCCTGCAGTTGTATCGTCGTAAAGAAGAGATGGCTTTGCAATCTTTTACAGATCATATGATGAAACTTTGGGATGGATGGGAAATTCGAGTGTTGGTTTTATTGAGCCTTTTTGTACAAATCATCCTCGTCATATTCGGTTCTCAAAGAAAATATACTAGAAGAATTTGGGTCAATCTCCTTGTTTGGTTAGCATACTTGACAGCAGACATGGTAGCAACAGTTGCTCTCGGTTGTCTTGCTCGCAGCCGAAGAGATTCTGCAGCTGATAAAGTTTTAAAGCTCCAGGCATTTTGGGCACCTTTCCTTCTGCTGCACCTTGGTGGCCCCGATACTATCACGGCTTACTCCTTAAATGATAATGAGTTTTGGCTAAGGCACTTTCTTCAATTTGTGTTCCAAGTTGGAGTAGCATTTTATGTCTTCACACCATCCTGGAAAAATAAAGATGCCTTCAGATTTATAGCCATTCCAGTGTTTATCGCTGGAATGATTAAGTATGCAGAGAGAATTGTAGTGCTCCACTCTTCAAGCGCCAAGAAATTTAAAGATTCCTTGCGTTCACCTCCTGAATTTGATGAGAATCCTTCAAACCTCGAGGACAGAGAAGAAGAGTATGAAAAGAAGCAAACTGAAGAGGTAAATAATTACCTCATTGAAGCTGTATCCTTGTTCAAAAAATTCAGGTGTCTCTATGCTGATTTAATTCTCGATCATGATGAAAGAAAAGAAAGTTACTCTCTTCTCAGCAAGAAGCCACCAAAAGAAGCCTTCAAATTGGTAGCAATTGAGCTTGGATTCATGTATGATGTGCTCTACACAAAGACAACAACAATTTATTCCGTGCTTGGTATCATTCTCCGTTGCATCTGTTTGTTCTCCCATATTCTTGTATTAGTTATCTTCTTAATCATTATTGATAAGTCTTCCTATTCACCAAGTGACATCTCCATAACTTATGTACTATTAGTTGGAGCTATCTTTCTGGAGGTTTATGCATTCATCGTGCTTCTTTTCTCTGACTGGACAAAATATTGGTTGACCAAGAGTAATTATATGTCCATTGATACATGCTCTAATGGTTTACTCTTCAACGACAACAGAAGGTGGTCAGGATCCATGGGTCAGTACAATCTATTAAGTTTTTCTCTTTCAGAGGCCAAATCAGCCACATCATTGATTGTTGGAATTCAGAAGCTATTTGGAATCCAAGAACTAATAGAAAAGTATAAATATTTGACTTTGAAAGAAGTGGATGATGATTTATTAAAAGCGATCTTCATCCAACTCCTTGAGAAAAGCCAAGAAATTGAAGGGGATCTTTTTGATATGAAGAAATGCAAAGAACTGCTGGGTCGGAGAGGAGATTATGTGCTTAGCAAAAGGTCTTTTAGTAATGAATTTCGTTGGAGCACAGTTGAGGTGGAATTTGATAACAGTCTTCTTCTTTGGCACATCGCTACTGATCTTTGTTATTACGATGATTTCTGTAACCTTCCAGAGGGTCATGAACTTCCACCAAAATGCAAAATTAGCAAATGGTTATCAGATTATCTGTTGTATCTTTTAGTCATATGTCCAACCATGTTGCCCAAAGGGGTTGGTGAGATAAGATATAAAGACACTTGCCTAGAAGCCATCAGATTTTTCAGAAAACAAAAGTTTGGTTCATCCACTGAAATCAGTACAGTTTGCAATTCTTTACTTGATGAATCAGCACTGGATCTAAACATTATGAATAAAGGAAGTTCTCTGTCGGTTTTAGTTCACGGATGTAAGCTCGCCAAGCAATTGCAGGCTTTGAACAGAGGTGTTGATGGGAGGAATAGTAAATGGGAGGTGATAAGTGAAGTGTGGATGGAAATGTTGGGACATACTGCAAGTCATTGTGGATGGAAAGAGCATGGAGAACAACTTGTGAATGGTGGAGAGTTACTTACTCACATATGTCTTCTCATGGCACATCTCGGCTTAAGTGAACAATATCAAATCCAAAAGCAGCCCATCCACCAGCATTGGAGAACTAAGCTTTTTGAAGGATTCCAGTCTTGGTCCCTCATCTGCTGCAACTACTTCTGCCTCTGCTGCAACTTCTTCTGCCTCTGCTGCCGCTTGTGCTGCGAGTGCTGCGGGTGCTGCCGCCACCGACTCGGTGATTTTTATTCATAAACAAATATTGGAATATCTTTTATTTTTGTAAGATTCTCCTATTTTTCACCTATTCGTTAGATGAAAATTTTCTTCCTCTTTTTCGAACTTTGTTTTTTTAGCTTCATTATTTTTTATATTTACTTATCTAGTGTATATAATTATGTATACCCCTACAATTTTATGTTAAAAGTTAATATAAAATTAATCAAACCTCTACTTCCATTAACAATTAATAACACTACCATCTTGTAGTAAAATTACATGATATATCTTTCCATAATTATGTAAATCATTGTGCTGTTAGTGTATTTGTTATGTTGACTATTTTTCTGTAGTGTTGATTGTTTGCGTACTTGTTATTTCATAGGAAAATAATACAGTCACTGAAAGTAATATACCGAATTCACGCACCGAATGACGTGATGTAATTCTGACCGTCGATTAATTATAACTTAATATTAATCGATGATCAGGATTGTGCCTTGTCATTTGGTATATGAATTCGATGCATTACTGGTGACCTTAGCATTACACTATTTTATAATATAATTGGAATGTTTGGTAACTTTGCTCATATCAAATGTTCCATAAATCGGCCCATTAATATTTTTTGTCAACATTATTTCCCAAAAATTGCCACTTATGGATTTTTTTAGCAGTATTTCCCAAAATAATATATATATATATATAAAGAGTCATTTTTAATGGTCAGATTTGCATCTGCCCGCGGAATGATTTATGCTACGTTATAACAGCTACAGGTTTTGGTTGATGATATTTGTTGAATTATTTTATTATATGTCACTTCTTTCCTCTCTCTCTCTCTCTCTCTAGATCTCTCTCTGTATTTATCGGTTATCACTTTTTACATGTCCAATGCAGTTGCATATACTGGGTTCCGGCTGCTACAACTACTGCTGCTGCCGCTGCTTCATTATGCGGTTTAAAGAAAAATTCCTGACTCTGGGTGCTATCTTTATTATGGGTAAGCTATAATTATATTATATATTTTGTCAGTTGGCATTTAGTTACAAGATTTGTAATGATCAAATACCATTTTATTATGAGTTATAGTTTGTATTGAATGATTAAACAAAGAAATTGGTGAAACAAAAATTCGGTTGTTATGTTATAAGTTTTATAAGATATCAAAGTCATTGAGATGAACTTTTCTAGTGTTGAGGGGTTACAATGATATTGTATGAAATCAAATGCACTAGTGCTTAACTATGTTTTATGTTCCTTTGGTGGAGAATTTGTCTACTAGAGACTTAATTGATTGTCTTATTCCCATTAACTCACACCCTCTTTTAATTTCAGGCTATAATTTTTTTTTTTTTTTTTAAAAAGTATTAGGAATATTTATCATAGTAAAACTATTTTATTGAAATTTTGTGTTAAAAAGCAATTGTTTATTGTAGGCCATGTGAGCCTAGATTTTATGGGGGTTAGAGTTGATTTTGGTCAATTCTCTGACAAAAACCGTTAAGTAAAAGGTTAGTGGTTTATACATCGAGGGAAATGACTATGCTTAGTATAAGTTTAGCGGTTTATGCTGTAAATGTAGAAATCTACCGTTACGAAAAGGGGGACTGATCCCGTGAGGTTGAAGCCACTAGTGATCTGCTGCACCTGCACACGTAAGAAAACAAGCGTGAAGCAGACGGAAAACACTGGGGTGGTGTTTGCCGTAGGCACTCTAACGCTCAAGTCAGCAAGGCTGAGTGAGGCTAGTTTAGAGAGGATTAGGGAGAGGAAAGGTTATCGGAAGTCTAGTCGGGGACTGTGACTACGACTGTAATGCAAAGTTCTCAAGTGAGAACTCTAGGGTCTGAAGGTGTAATGTCGTTGTCTCTTGTGAGAGGGTTGGTCTCTGTTTAAATAGTGACTGTATAGTCTTCGAATCCTGGTGGGATTGGGAGTCCTTATAGTGGTGGTCCTCCCAAAGGGTGGAGCCTTTGGCTCCCTTATCTCAGTAGGAAAGGGAGTTCGAACGTGCCTAGGATACGGACCTTGGAGGAATTGGGATAGTAATTGACTTCCTTAGTAGAGTTCTAAGTAGTAGTGTAGTTCGTAGGTGACTGTAGGCTCCGAGTTGACCGTAAACCCAGAAGGTGTTCCAGGATCAGGAGGCTTGGGTCCAGATGGTGAGGAGCTGGGAAAGCATACCGAATCGGCCTCATCTACAGAACTCTGATTTGGGCCCCATCGAAATTGGGCCTGAGCTTTCATCTTTGTTGGAGGTGTCTCCGTCTTTGGGCCTATTTGGGCCGAGGACATTTTTTGGCCCTAACATATGCAAAAGTGATGGTAACCCACCTATGTTCTTAATGAACTTCATACTCCCATTGGTGGTGGTGTGTAGGCTACAGTCACACTTGATGGAGGTTCAACTGTGTGAGTGTGAAATTAGGACGATGACAATGAGAGCCTAGGCAATCATCTCTAGAGCACTCATGAAATTCAGAGTCACATGGCCATTAAAGTGTAAAATCACAAGACGGCTAATATAAACCATTTAGTGTGGATTTCTAATTCTCTGATTCAGACTAAAGGAACATTAGTTCATAGAAATTAAATGTTTCACCATGTTCCTCTAAGACATGATTAGTTGTCCAATGGTTGGTTCATAGCCTGAAAGGCACCCGTCCATAGGAACTGAATTATAAAGTTTCCCTGGTAATAGATTTTCATGTATTTTGAAATAGAGGGAGATTGTTGTATTTTATTAAATATTTCGAAATACATATTGTCATGGTTTTATTGCAATTTAATAAGAAAGAAGTTTTTATTTTATTTAATTAATTCAATGTTTATTTTAATGGGAGTTTCATAAGTTTTTATGATTGATTTTATTACACCCCATAATGGCCAACAACCATATTTTTTAGTGTAAATAAAGGGTAGAGCTTATATTGTAGAGACTTAGATTTTTATATAAAGTATAACTCCTATGAAAATGATATTTTATTCATGTACTAGAGAATCTTTGTTATATGGAGGTTCTAGGGTTCCATATTTGGGAGTGCACCTATATGGAACTAACAAGTCATTGTATCCTAGAGGTTAGATCGTCGTTGTATTTGAGCTTGTTTTGCACTACAACATTGTCCTAGAGGGGTGGAATCTGCCTTAAGAACAATGCGATTTAGTATGTCCTAACTTTATTTGACGAGGAATTGATGGTATCAAATTCAAGACTCCCTACTTCTCTCAAAATTTTCCAACAGCAACGTGGATTAAAATAGAGCTTAGAATTAGTAGCTTACTTTTATGTGTATAATATATTGTTGGATTTTAGTTAGTGTTAACTGATTTCTGAGTTGGCATTGAATAACAATTTCCCCCTTTAGGTATCTAAAATAAAAATTCACCTTTGTCATCAATATTACATTAGGGTTTTTGTGGTTATTTTGACGGAATAAGAGTAAAATAAGCTATTACAAACGCCCAATTAGAAGAGTAAAAATAGAGGAAAATTATTATTTCTAAAAGGGGAAAAAAGTTGTTATTCTATGGAGTCAATTTTCTTAGCTCTTTTAGTTATTCCACCACGAATAAAAGGCAAGCTTTCCGTCCATCCAGGCTGAAATCTGGGCTTTGAAGATTCTAAATTCACTTGCATTAATTGGTTTCCAGCCACACCTGTCTTGGTCCAATGGGCTTGCTAACCCATTACATAATTTGATGTCAGCAATAGATAACAGTAATACTATACTCACAAACCTTTTTCATTAACTTTCTCTCACAAACGTGATGTGTCAGCTCGTAATTAGTCAGCTCGCAATGGATCTCACCTGTCCAACAATGAGTCTCGTCTGACCAAATGCAAGTTATCACATCAGCGTTAGTGAGAGAAGTTTATGAGAAGTGTTTGTCAGTCTATCTTTATTCATTGACAAATAGAAATAATATAGGCATAATTTTTATAACAATAATTTATATGAGAGAAACATTACATTTAACTAATGAATGATACCTCTTGGAGGGTAGAACCCTATACTATTGACTTCAACTTCAATATGTGCTCCATAGAGATAATAATCTACCTAGAAATAGTATATCTATAAATATTTTGGGAATTTTCGCTGACAAAAAGAAATTAGAATTGGAGTTTTAAAACATCTAATTTTGAGATTTTTTATCATTTTGGATGTATTTTGACACAACAACGATAATTAATCGCTAATTAAAAAAACCTTTGTTGAATGTGAACAATTTTTTTATCTTTGTGCTCGAAAAATATATAGCACTACCAAACAACTAAATGTGAATTCACGATGGCATTCGCTTCACGAACTACAGTATTTTAGTTCTTTAGAACAGAAAATAGGAAGAACTAAAAAAGATGTTTTTTATATTTTCATTCCCTATATTATTCCAACATTTCATATTTATCATAAGAAAATGATAATAATACATTTTTACTGGTTATATTCAGCTAATTTTTTCTTTTAAATTAATTTTTAAAATACAAATTCAGGCCTTCCGTTCTTATTTAACCAAAAAAAACACCAAATATACAATAAGTTTAGAACTTACCCACATCATCACTCAATTGAGTCGAAGAAATTAAATTAAATTAAATTATCACTCTCACCATGAACACATTGGCATAAATTTATCAAAAACTAAATCAATTTTTATACTTAATGAATTGGGAGCTTTGTTGTCACCTTTACCACTCCCAAGAAAAACCAAACGAAGTTAGAAATTATCAATAATTCTTCTATAAATGAAAATTAAAGAAGTAAAAGGAAAGAAAAAACTTGTAGTTTCAGAGAGTTATAAAAAGTTTCATTAATCTCAATCATAATCTGCAAAACAAAGAGACAAGTTCTTCAGCTTCTTCTCATCTCTAATGGCATCGGTTTCGTGCTCATATAAATACTTACAATTGATCGATATCTCTTCTTCGCCGACCGAAAAATCTCTTCCTCTTCTTCTTCTTTCCCAAATATCTCCTCTATCGTCGCCCATATAACCTCATTTTGATCACGTAACTTCCTCTTCTTTTTCTTCGTCTTCTCGCTCTCGTTGCTGTTGTTCTCTTCACCGCTCAGCTGCATTAGCCGTTCAGCTGCCTCCCCCATGGCTGAGTCCGATTAGAACTTCTAGGGATTCGCCACTAATGAAAAGCCCCCGCATACAATTCAAGTTCTCTCTTTTTCTTCCTCAGTCTTCTCTCTTTCTCTTTATGTAGTTTCCTTTGGCTTAGAGCGCGTCTTGAGTACGTGTTGTATGCGTTTTTTAAGAAGAAGCTGCTATGTTGCTGCCATGAAGATGGCGAGAAGATGTTTTATTAATATTTTTATATATCAGCTGACTGATTCTATACATCCGGTTCTACATTATTATCCAACTTAAATTAAGATCAGTCCGTTAGATTTTGATTGGCCTAATCTTGGCCCTCAATCAAGCAAAGACGAGATAGCTTGATTGGGATGAATAATGTATTGTTGTGAAGACTTTGTAGGTCCCATTTTGAATCATATTTGATCTTGATACATAGAATTAGAAGGGACCCAGCAATTTAAAATGAAGTAGGTTGAGCCGTCGGATATATGGGTTGTTATTTGATGGGATGAGTGAGATTGATTATCTAATCAAATAGTCAAACTTTGAAATGAATTCGAATAAGACGGGTAGAATTTACCAAACTACAAAGAACAAAGTCTCGCTCGTTAAATTGGGTTAATAGGTGAATTCTTCATTTCGTACTAATATTTCTAGATACACGGTAGTCATACAGTAAATCAATATCTTTAGTCAGGTCTAAATTCTCATATATTTTTATAGTTAACTTAATTGATGGTTAAAAAAATTTATACTTATATAATATCATCGTGATATTATAGATCTTCTCTAGAGCAAGACCTTATATACCTAATTTCTCGACACCTTCAATCATATGAAACATGTGTGGGTAATTAAATAGAGATTAAAAATTATTTAAACCGT